AAACTCTGCATGTAATAACCTAGAACACTCTCTAAGACTTGATGGCTGCTCTGTCAATTCTTCGTCATCAGTTAGGAAACTAGGTGTGCTATTTGATAGCAATCTTTCCTTAGAAAGCAACGTTTCTAGCATTTGTAAAACGGCATTTTTCCATCTCAAAATATCTAAATTACGACCTATGCTCTCAATGTCAAATGCAGAAATGTTAATCCATGCGTTTATGACCTCAAGGTTAGATTATTGTAATGCTTTATTGGGTGGTTGTTCTGCACGCTTAATAAACAAACTCCAGCTGGTCCAAAATGCAGCAGCTAGAGTTCTTACTAGAACCAGGAACTATGACCATATTAGCCCGGTTCTGTCAACACTGCACTGGCTACCTATTAAACTTAGTATAGATTTTAAAGTCTTGTTTATTACTTATGGAGTCCTCTGCACAATCTGACTTTGCTGCAGCCTGGAATTGAACTGCTGGTTTTGTCTGGTCAGAGGAGAACTGCCCCCCGACTGAGCCTGGTTTCTCCCAAGGTTTTTTCTCCATTCTGTCACTGATGGAGTTTAGGTTCCTTGCCACTACCGCCTCTGGCTTGCTTAGTTGGGGACACTTCATTTCCAGCGATATCGTTGACTTGATTGCACAGATATTATTTAAACTGAACTGAGCTGGATGTTGACATCACTGAATTCAATGATGAACGGTCTTTAACTGAAAAATTAGTGTTTACTATTGTCATTTTGCATTATTGACACTATTTTCCTAATTAATGCTGTACAGTTGCTTTGACACAGTCTGTATTGTTAAAAGTGCTATATAAATAAAGGTGACTTGACTGGAAACAAGTTTACATGGGCATTCTCTCACTAAACATACATCAAATAATTCAGTGCAATGTTCAATACTTCATGCAGTTCACCATTTTATTTATAACCTTGTAGTTACATGTGGCATTTCACAGTAAGAACGAAAGGTAATATTTTGATTCCAAGTTACCAGTAAACTGAACGGCACAATGTCTCCATACAATCGAAATTAGTGTCTACTGCAATATTTGAAACTATAGCAAAGGAGACAGTCAGGTGTGGATACAGGAGACCATGACAAATATAAAAAAAAGTGAACACAAATAAAAGACATGGCTATGAAGGTGCCATAATCAATTACAGCACACATTCAGCTGTGGTGTGAGCGCAGTCTTAATTTCAAACAGATACCTATTTTTTGGTGCTATCTTAAATTGCAGGGCCACTGAGTGTGGTGTTTTTTAATGTGAATATTGAGGCTACATTTATGACTGAAACGCTTTCCACACTGAGCACATTTACAGCATTTCTCTGCCGAATGAGTCTTCATGTGGTAATTAAGTCTTACCATACATATAAAACTCTTTCCACACTGAGCACATTTGAAGGGTTTCCTTCCAGTGTGAATCATCTTGTGACACTTAAGGCTAAATTCTGTTGTGAGGATCTTTCCACAACGAATTTGAACACATTCTGTCCAGTGTGAATTTTCATGTGGTAATTACGGGTGCATGCATGTGTGAAACTCTGCCTACAATACTTGCAAGAGTAAGGCTTCTCTTGAGTGTGAACTCTCATGTGGACTTTAAGGTTTTGTTTTGCAGGGAAACTCTTTCCACACTGTTTGCATATATAAGGCTTCTCTCCAGTGTGAATGCTCATGTGGGAATGAAGGGTGCTTTTCTGTGTAAAACTCTTTCCACACTGACGGCAAGTGTAAGGTTTCTCTCCCGAGTGAGTTCTCATGTGTCTTTGAAGGTGTGGTTTTTGAGTGAAACTCTTTCCACACTGTTGGCAGGTGAATGGCTTCTCTCCCGAGTGAGTTCTCATGTGATTGTTAAGAGATCCTTTTTGAGTGAAACAGTTTCCACACTGTTGGCAGGTGTAAGGCTTCTCTCCCGAGTGAGTTCTCATATGCCTTTTAAAGGCTCCTTGTTGAGCAAAGCTCTTTCCACACTGATGGCAGGTGAAAGAGCTGTCAGATTTGGTTTTCTGAGCTCTTTTTCGGATAGAAGCCGTTTTAGTTTGTGTGGCTTTTTCACCAGTTATGAAATCATGGTGTTTCTCACACTGATCTGTCTGTTCCATTTCATTCGGATCTTGACTCTCCTCTTTCAGCACCAGCTGGTCTAAAGCAAAAAAAGATAAATACAAGTTAACCACAGTTTGAGGCAACAAAGCAAAAGATGTGAAAAGCAACATTAAAGCTTTTAAAGCCGGGACACATCAAGCCGACTTCAAAGAACTATCAGTGTTGAAAGCCGACTGTGTTGTTGATCTGAACCAAAAGCTGCGCTTGAACACAGCGCTGCAAACTAGTGCTGCCTTCACGTGCAATCGGAATTATCATAAATACGAGTTTCCTAATCGGAAATTGGACGTGAATGACCTCTAAAGTCGTATTTACTACTGGGAAATTCTGAAATAATTTTGATACTAGAAGTTTGAGTTGAGCGGGTCATACTCTTTAAACATGGTGGAGGGGACAACCATTGCTGCTGTCAATGCTGTTCTCACAACAACTACATCCCTTTGTCTTATCACTAAAGTAATGTATTTATAGGCTAGATATGAACGATCATATTGTATGATTTACAAGCATGTATTTGACCAAAAGTCCAGGATTGTCAACAAACTGCATGTATAGCGCGGTGAATGTTTATATGATTGTCAACCAATGGGATGCTACATTTGATTCTTTCTGAAATTAAAGCACTTGAATACGTCAAGCTCGTAATCACAACTTCATAAGTGGGAAATATGAAATGTCCGATAGCACGTAAAGGCAGCTTAACACATGCTTTCTGCACTTGCGTGAGAGGAATCAGCTGTCTATATCAGCAGCTATCCTACTAGATTTTATTAGTAGTAAACTACTGTAAGCGGTGTTACATGTAATCTCAGAACCTCTCAATATTTTTAACTTGGCACTTTCTTTAGGACACACCTAAGTTAGTTAGCAAACCCCTTATAACTAGGGCTGGGTATCAAATTCAATACTTTTTAGGCACCGACCGCATTGCCTCCATACCATAGACGATCTAATATGTGTTTTGGCCATATAATGTTGCTGAAATATGTTATTTGTAGCCTTTTATGTCAAGCTAATCGTTACATCTGCTTAGCATTTCTCACAAAACACTCTGTATTGTTAAGAAATAGGCATAAACTCATACAAATCATTTACCCTCATGCGAAAATGCAATAGTGTAAATGTAGCCAAAAAGATGTGAAAACTACTTGAACCAATGTCTGAGCATTAACCAACAAAATGGACAAAGTATGGCTGTGGCAATGGACCCGAAGGGATTGTTGTGCGCTGATTTTCATGGAAACGTAGCTGAGTGCGGAAATCCCAGATAAAGCTAACTAGCCGCACGCTATACTGAGCAGACCGCACTCAAGACTCCAGTAAGAGAAGGGTAGGGGGTCTTTGTGTTTATATCAACAAAGACTGGTGTACCAACCACACTGCAGCCGAGAGCTAATGTTCAACTGGATCTATAGTATCTCATGCTGAGATGTAGACCGTTTTCTATACCGCGGGTGTTCTCCGTTATCTTTGTAGCAGTTTATATTCCACAACAAGCTATGTCAAACTAGCGCTAACACAGCTAAACTCAGCTATCTGCAAACGGCAGGATGCTCCCCCAGACGGAGCCTTCAACAAAGCTGATCTACAAACAGTGCTCCATAAATTTTATCAGCATGTGAAAGGTTACACCAGATGTTCCAATATTTTGGACCACGCGTACATTAACATCAAGGACTCACACAGAGCCTTCCCCAGCCATTCTCTTGGTCAGTCTGATCACCTCTCACTGTTTCTGACCCTAGCATACAGACCTCTCATTCGCAAGTCAAGACCCATCATTCAAACAGTCAAGATTTGGCCAGAGGATGCCATAGCGCACAGCTTCAGGACTGTTTTGATTGCTGCATCTGCGAACAAATCCCAGATAGTGCAACCCATGAAAATGTGCCAGACCTGGAGGAATGCACAGCCACTGTACTCTTCTGCATTAACAGCCATGTAGGAAATGTTACGGTGGAGAAGACAATAAAGAGGTATGCTAATCAGAAACAATGGATTAACAAAGAGGGAAAAACCTTCTGAGAACATGCAAAAATGCCTTTAAATGTGGTGACCCCAAAGCATACCATGTAGCTAAACACAATCTTAAGAAGGGCATAAAAAAAAGCACAAGCCAGCTATAGATGACGTATTGAAGACCACTTCAGCAACTCTGACACCAGGAGTGTGTGGAAAGGAATAGAACAGAATTGGTAAGTGTAAGTATTAATTGGTCAGGTGATGGCGAAAAAGATGTGTCTTTAGATGTTTTTTGAAAATGGCTAAAGACTGCTCGGATTGAGATAGGCAGGTCGTTCCACCAGCTGGGGACAGTCCAGGAAAAGGTCATCGAGTGATTTTTTGCCACTTTGGGATGGCACCATGAGGCATCGTTCATTTGCAGAACGCAAGCTTCTGGAGGGCACATAGATCTGAACTAGCGAGTTTAGGTATATTGGTGCAGCGCCAGTGGGTCTTGTAGGCAAGCATCAGTACCTTGAATTTGATGCGAGCAGCTATTGGCAGCCAGTGCAAGCTGATGAAGAGAGGTGTGACATGAGCTTTCTTCGGCTCGTTGAAGACCACTCTGGCTGCTGCATTCTGGATCAGTTGCAGAAGCTTGATAGTACATGCAGGAAGGCCCGCCAAGAGAGCATTACAATAGTCCAGTCTGGAGAGAACAAGAGCTTGGACAAGGAGTTGTGCGGTCTGCTCTGTTAGGAAGGGTCTAATCTTCCTAATGTTGTACAAGACAAACCTGCAAGACCGGGCCGTTGTAGAAATATGGTCTGTGAAGCTTAACCGATAATCCATCACAACTCCAAGCTTCCTGGCTGTCCTGGAAGGAGTTATGGTTGACAAACCTATCTGTATAGAGAGGTTGTGATGAAGTGCAGGGTTGGCTGAGACAATGAGCAGTTCTGTCTTAGCAAGTTTGAGTTGAAAGTGATGAACATTCATCCAGCCAGAAATGTCTGTCAGACAGGCTGCAATGTGAACAGCTGCTGTCGGATCATCTGGTTTGAATGAGAAGTAGAGTTGAGTGTCATCAGCATAGCAATGATAGGAGGAGCCATGCTTCTGAATGACAGATCCTAAAGATGGCATGTAGATGGAGAAGAGAAGTGGTCCAAGCACTGAGCCTTGAGGAACCCCAGTAGCAAGAAGCTGTGACTTAGAAACCTCACCCCTCCAAGACACCCTGAACGACCTACCCGAAAGGCAAGACTTAAACCACTGGAGTGCGGTTCCTGAGATGCCCATCTTCATGAGGATGAGACAGGACAGGAGGATCTGGTGGTTAACAGTGTCAAAAGCAGCAGACAGATCCAGCAAGATGAGTACTGAGGATTTGGAAGCTGCTCTTGCCAGTCTCAGGGCTTCAGTAACCGAGAGCAGTGCAGTATCGGTTGAGTGGCCGCTTTTGAAGCCAGATTGGTTGCTGTCCATGAGGTTGTTCTGTGCAAGAAACATAGAAAGTTGGTTGAACAAAACTCGCTCAAGTGTCTTTGCAATGAACAGAAGAAGGGCTACCAGTCTGTAGTTTTCTAAAAGTGCTGGATGTAGAGAGGGTTTCTTAAGCAGTGGGGTTACCCGAGCCCGCTTGAATGCTGTGGGAAATGTACCAGAGTGAAGAGAGGTGTTGATAATGTGAGTGAGTGGGGGTATAACTGAAGAAGAAATTTGGCCTTAATATGTCAAATTAATATTATATATATATATTGTATATATTTTGACTTTTTATTTACAAACCCGATTCCAAAAAAGTTGGGACACTGTACAAATTGTGAATAAAAACAGAATGCAATGATGTGGAAGTTTCAAATTTCAATATTTTATTCAGAATACAACATAGATGACATATCAAATGTTAAAACTGAGAAAATGTATCATTTTAAGGGAAAAATAAGTTGATTTTAAATTTCATGGCATCAACACATCTCAAAAAAGTTGGGACAAGGCCATGTTTACCACTGTGTGGCATCCCCTCTTCTTTTTATAACAGTCTGCAAACTAGAGAAGCACCGCTTCTGTTACTCGTGTGTTACTCTGTTACTCACTAAATAACGCTGATTAATGTTAGATAAAGCACTACAATGTCACATTCAACAGCAGATCATTAATCGTGCGTCGCTTAAACACTATATATTTGACTGAACGGGTTCTAACAGTTAAACACACAGACCTCTCTCGAGCCGAAGCACATCAGACGCGGGGGCGCGCGCGCAGGCTTGTGACGTCACGCCGCAGAGCAGAATTAAAGTCCTCTGAAAAACCTCAAATTAAAGGACAAATGATTTTCTGCACTCAGTCAGAGAAACCCTGCAGCAGCTCTTACTGTGCAGCAAGCATCTCATCCTAACTCTGCATTACTCATATAGCCTCATTATCAGCGTTATTTACATTTAACCTCGAACAGATTGGTTAGACACTCTCTAAAATATATTCATGCACAGATTTGTGTGTAGGCATGCAGTGAATAACCACACAGGCATGAACACGTGTGGACACCAGGAGCCGTGTGCATGAAGCCGCTCGGAGTCACATTTGTGCCAACAGTCTAAGAAAGATGTAACTCTTAATCCTAGACTTGAGAATAAGAGGGATTCATAAAGGTTCCGAAGTGTTAAAACTAGGTCTCGGCTCCTAAATTATTTAAGAGAGCCGGAGAGGTCTCCTAATCTAGTTAGGAGTAACAAGACGGCAGCAAAGAGGAGCAGACGCACACTTTCCAGCAAAGATATGACGTACTGGAGTTACATGATGATATGGAGATGATAAAACAATACAAACTTAGTTTTTTGTGTGTAACTGACACAGTAAGAAATGTAATAACCTCTTCCGCTCAACAGGTCAATGCTGTAACTGCAGAAATGAAAGTAGTAATTACATTTTTCTGGCTGGAAATGTGGACAAATGCAGCAGTGCAGCGGTGATGACGGTACGCAGACACAACTGGCCAAAAGTGATGTGCGGAGGGGGTTTATGACCCCAAACATCAGAATACAAAGGACAAAAAACACTGATGGACACAGTGTTGCCAACTGCTTTCAATTGAAGGTAGCTGAAACTGAAGCTAAACCGGTCACTTAATGTTGCTAATGACCTCATAAAGCTGAGTTCACTGGTCTATATTTATATTTTTAATTATTAAGTCTCCCACTCTTAGAAACGTCCTACTTTTTACGAAGAATTTTTTAACACTTAAGTCTATTCTTAAAAGCATTTCTGAGAAGTTGTATACATACGGGCCCAGATTCTGCCACAGCGACGTACAGAATCATATCGAGTTTATTTGTAGCGGTTCAACAGAGACGCCAGAAAACTGAAGTCTGTTCCAGAAGCTTTGTGTTTCTCAGACAGAAGCTCTAACATCAGAAGGTGACAAAAATAAACACAACAATCTAATTTTACACGAGTCTTCAGAACTAAAAAAACAGCTTCCGTTGTTGGACACAATCACGTTGAGCGCAGCACAGAGAGTCAGAGGAAGAACATTGTGAGACGGCCCTGACAGTGCTGTTCAACTATTCTTTTTAATGAGTAACTTTATGTTTTCTGATCATCAGACATCAAAGCCTTGTAAAAATAGGTCACAGACAGAGATTCACTTTAAATTTCAAACCGATTACTCATTAAAACTCCCACAGATCACAGTTTCATGTCTTTTTTTTTTGGATGTAACAAAGTGGTTATATTTAAGTGTGTGAGTCTTCCCATTAAAGCCATTATATTGTTCATTCAGACTGATTCTGAATGCGCACAAACACACGCTGATGATCCTGAATGTCTTGTTGAATGAGTGTTGATTGAGGCTCATCAATATTAACAGCTGCTGAAAACACTCTGTATTTCATGACAATAGTCCTGTTTTCACCTCATGTATTAAGCTGATGTCTTCAGATCTCCAGTAAATGGCCACTTTAAGCTCGTTTCATTGGTGTCAACAGACAGAGGGGATATGTTGCTTACAGATATCTACATTTATTTTTTATTTTTATGCTTTCAACTGTTTTTCTTACCATTATTTTTATCTGGAAAAATTACCACTACATTATTTATATTCTCTTATCCATTAGTATAAAAATGAACTCAGTAACTCAGAGATATATTTTTGATTTTGGCAGATCAGCTCCTCCCACATTGCAATTCATCAGTGAAACTCCTCCCACTCTGGAATTCATCGTCACTGAAGCTCCTCCCACTCTGGAATTAATAATCAGTGAAGCTCCTCCCACTCTGGAATTCATCATCAGTGAAGCTCCTCCCACTATGGAACACATAATCAGTGAAGCTCCTCCCATCACAAGTGAAGCTCCTCCCATGACCAGTGAAGCTCCTCCCACACTGGATTTCATCATCAGTGAAGCTCCTCCCACTCTGGAATTCATCATCAGTGAAGCTCCTCCCACACTGGAATTCATCATCAGTGAAGCTCCTCCCACTCTGGAATTCATCATCAGTGAAGCTCCTCCCACACTGGAATTCATCATCAGTGAAGCTCCTCCCACTCTGGAATTCATCATCAGTGAAGCTCCTCCCACTATGGAACACATAATCAGTGAAGCTCCTCCCATCACAAGTGAAGCTCCTCCCATGACCAGTGAAGCTCCTCCCACACTGCAATCACATCATCAGTGAAGCTCCTCCCATCAGTGAAGCTCCTCCCATGACCAGCGAAGCTCCTCCCACACTGCAATCACATCATCAGCGAAGCTCCTCCCATCATCAGTGAAGCTCCTCCCATCACCAGTGAAGCTCCTCCCATCATCAGTGAAGCTCCTCCCACTGCAGTTCAGCAATAAATGCTGGAAGATCTCCATCAGTTCAGAAGTGCAGACGAGCATCAGAGCATCAGGAAGAGCTGAGATCTGATCAAAGACTGAGTTTATTAAAGAGGACAGAGAGAAGATGAGAGATCCAGAGCCCTGCAGAATCAAACACACTGAAGATACTGAGGAACTAACAGGTTGGTGTTTATTCTTCATTCACGATGCTGAAGAACATTCATGTTAGAAAGATAAACAGTTTGTACTCATCTTATCGTTTCATTTTTAGTTTTCAACAAAAGGTCAGTAAAGGAAGGTTTGAGAAACTTTCATATCGAGTGTCAACATCAGACAATTACTTCAGTTTTTTTTACTTTACATTTATATTATATCTGGTTTTCAAGTTTCTGCATCCAGGTTAACAGAATGTTGAACATTTCTCAATATAGCTAACAATATTGTGATTTTTGCCATTTCTTTCAGCATTAAACAGTAAACACCAAACTTTACAGAATTGCAATTAGAACATTTACGCATTTCAGGTATACTGGAAAACAAGTGATTAAACGTTAGAAATAAGCTATATATATTACTTACTATTATAATATATATTAATTTACACAGTGAAGAATGTGCAGTGTTTTGATTAATTTAAACAACGTATGTAGCATTTCTTAGTGTAGTTTTTTTTGTCCTATTGCTTGTAATTTGTTTCTTATTCTTATTTCATCACTGTCTTTACTGTCCAGATACTTATGGAGGGCACTGTATTTAATAGCTCTCTCTACAGAAACATGGGATTTGTGCCTGATGTTTTGCATCCGATTGTTCAATTAATTTATAAAAATGCAACAGAATTATCATAATATTGTATAGCAGTCATCTACTTTCTGCTATTACATTAGTGCTGACTTTCATATTTCTAGCTTTGAATAATTTTTTTATTTACTAAAATTTAACTTTTTTTCTTTTATTTCAGAGCTGATGGAAGAGAGCGAGGAGAGAGAAGAACTGAGTGAAGTGGAGGAGAAACATCATGATAAACCTTTGAGACACTCGAAGACTAAAAAGCTATTTTTAAAGAAAAGACGAGCCGAGAAATCTTTCACCTGCACTCAGTGTGGGAAGAGTTTCCCATTCAAGCAAAGTCTTGAGCGTCACATGAGGATCCACACCGGAGAGAGACCGTTCACTTGTGATGACTGCGGGAAGAGCTTCACACAAAAAGTACACCTTAAAAATCACATGAGGATCCACACTGGAGAGAAGCCGTATGCATGCGATCAGTGCGGGAAGAGCTTCACGCAATCAATAAACCTTAAAGAACACATGAATATCCACACAGGAGAGAAACCGTTCATGTGTGACCAGTGTGGAAAAAGTTTCACACACAAACAATATCTTAAAAAGCACATGAGGATCCACACCGGAGAGAAGCCACACGCATGTGATCAGTGCGGCAAAACATTTCTTCGGTCATCAGACCTGAAGACACACCTGACAGTTCATACGAAGGAGAAGCCGCATTCATGTTCTGTGTGTGCAAAGAGTTTTTCATTGCTGAAAAGTTTAAAAGCACATCAGAAAATACATGCTGATGTGAGAGAGTACATGTGCTTTGAGTGTGACAAGACTTTTATTACAGCGAGCTAACCTGCACCAGAGGATCCACACTGGAGAGAAACCTCACAAGTGTTCACACTGTTACAAGAGTTTCAGTCTGTCATCAAATCTGAATGCACATGAGAAGATCCACAGCGGAGAGAAGCCACACACGTGTGATCAGTGCGGGAAGAGTTTCACTTTTAAAAGTCAGCTGAAGATACACATGAGGATGCATGCAGTGCAGAAACCAGATCACCACAGTCTGAGATCACGGTCAGTAGTTCATGTTCATGGGCGGAGAAACAAGGTGTCTTCTGTGGAAGAGCTGTGATGAGCGACAGAACATTTTGTTGGAGGCTTGGTATTTGCTTCAAAAGTCTCACATTGTTATGAAGTATTGAGTTGTAATTA